GTCTGCGTTCTAAATCTCTAGTTTGAACAAGAGGATACATAGTGAAGGCAATCCAATTTTGAAGCACAGACAAATCATATAGTTAATGTTCTGGAGTCTGTTTTTGTGAAAACAGATCAACTTGTGTGTGTACATACTACACAAAGATATCCTAAACTACTTGCACTATTTTATTTCATCTCTACTACTATGTTACTAAAGCCACTGCCATTTTTTCTTGCAGTGCAGAGATCCATATACAAAGACATTGTGCTTTTACTGCAACAAAACAGGTTTCTTATTAATAAAGAATTGCGTAATAAGGCATGTAATACCACTTCATCGTCGTCATAACTACTTGTATAGTATGGAATCAAAATTATGCTTCTATCAGATTTGTATTTATAACCATGGTTGCAATAGAACCTGTACTAATACATTTGAGAACTTTTGAACTGGTATTCTGTACAAATTTGTTTACATACTCCATTTATACATTTCTGTTTTTATCCTACCTTGTGTCTTAGTCTGATTGCAATCACCTTGTATTTGTTGTAGGGTGAACTGTCATTTGAAAATGACGAGTTACTGGAAGGTGGCAAGATGGAAAAGTTAACAAATGGGACAAACTATCGAGAGGTTAGGCAGTATAAAACAGATTACCATCTTGTCAGGTGAGTATAGTTTTACTTCAGTAATTTGCAACTTGTTGAACATAAAGTCCAGAATATAGTAATTGCATTCTGTAATTGAAATGTACAAATATATGCATTTAACACAGTATTTGGTTATAAATGGGATTGTTAATGATTTTGAACACATTCTTTAAAATCCTTTTTTGTCACCTGTTCATGTAGATTGTAAAAACCCTTGTATATGTATATTAGCATGTAAAGTTTCTCAGTTGATTCATAGACACCAAAGATGGTGACTTTCAAATTTTACCAGCCTTGCATTAAAGATCATCAGGTGGACTGGATAATTAATAATCCTGGGTGTACAACAGGCAATAGTTTTTCCCTCTTATTTATTGTGTTAAATACTACTTCATTATCAACTGGTGTTATCATTTCAAATATCATAGTCCCTGAATTTTGTACAATTTTACAATGTAAACGGCCCATTATGATATTTTAATGAATGTTGTATAATAAGATGATTTCCTTTGTAGGTTTTATTTCCTGACGCGCGTCTATAATGACTATGTTGAAACAGTATTGACAGATTTTCAAGAGGATCCCCGTCCAGATGTGATTATCATTAATTCCTGTTTATGGGATATTACCAGATATGGAAGTTCCTTCATTACAACTTACAGAACAAATCTAGTGAAGTTATTTAAAAGATTTCAAGAAATATTACCAAAAAACACGATGATTATTTGGAATACTGCGATGCCAGTTTCCAAAAACATCCGAGGGGGATTTTTAGTTCCTGAAGTTGCTTTCATGAATGATACACTTAGGCTTGATATTTTAGAAGCCAACTTTTATGCTCGTGATATAGTAGTGTCTTTTAAGTATGATGTTTTAGATTTGCATTATTACTTTCGATGGCAAATTCACAGAAGAGCTGAGGATGGGATACACTGGAATGAGAGAGCGCATAGGCGTGTAACTAACTTGATTCTTGCACATGTAGCTAATTCTTGGGGGGTTGGTGTGCCACGGTTTATCGATGATCCTATTGGTGAAAATTCATTGAAAAGGCATACACGACATGAAAGTGCACCAGCAGATTTATTTTCTGTCAATACACAAGAAAATGTACCAATAAGACCCTTGATGTCTCGTGAAATTTACAATCTTCCTACTCCACCTCCACTATTAAAGTCATCAGAAGATCGTTACGGTGGTCCAATCAGGCGTTCATCTTATAGCTCTGCATCGTATGCATCACGATATGCATCACATTCCTCCCCATATGCATCATGTTCATCACAATATGCATCACGCTCATCGCCATACACAACACCAGTTTCAATGTATTCACTACCTAATCAAATAAAGCCACTTGCGCAAGACATGGGGCCTCTATCCTATATAGACTTCAGTCGAATTCCGTCTCCAATGAATGGCAACCCAGGCCAAGCAATGCCACCGCCTCAATCACTACCACAAGGAAGACGTGGTAAAAGCAATGTACACTCCAGACAGGGTGGTAGGTACAATCCATATGGAGGCAGAATGCAGTTAGATGGTAATCATAGGTATATGAGGGAAAGAGAAAGGATAATAAGAGAAAGAGAACTAGAACTTAAAATCAGAAATCAATAAAGTTGGTGATATATTAACAGCTACAGATACATACCAAATCTTGCATTCATATGTAACAGACCCATATTGAACTTGGAGTCTTTGTTTTTCAACTTTTATCTGTCAACTTTACTCATTCATGTTTTAATATGTACATGCCATGTGTTATTGTTAAAAACAGCCACTTGTTGTACATATCTTTAAAGTTTACCAATCATGTCAATTTCAGTTGTACATTTCATGGTAGATGTTGTCAAATCATGTGTTACTGTTCAACATCCACTCATTGTACATATTATCTGTCAATGATAACCGTAATGTTAATTTCACTTGTACATTTCATGATAGATGCTCATCTTGCTGTTCAGCAGCCACTAATGTTAATCAGTGACAGGTATGCCTGTAGTTCAATTTGTTGCAGCCTTGCGTATCCTCATCTACAAGTCTCTATGGTCCCTTAATTATTGATATAGTAAGTGGCATATATATATAACATATTGTTACTTGTAATACTGTTACATAGTTTCTTATTTCACTTGTACCTACATCTTCAGCTCTTGTTTGTTCTTGCAGTAATATTTTGTTTTATGTATTTCAATTCAGTTTTCTGTTTCACATTATTAATTTTAAAACTCTATGATTTCTTTTACGTATAACAAGCAAATAGGACACCAGAAATGTGATAGTGTTATTCGGTTTCACTACGATACAAGAGGATTGTTACAGTAGTAATTGGAACACAATGTGCTGCAATGTTAGGATTCAGTCTCTTATTGGTGCTTACTGAAAACATGTTAAAATACTATTCCTGTATGATCAGTTATGTTTACATTCACCATTTAATAGTAGTAGTAGAAGTACCAGGTAGTAGTTTTATCTGAATGACTTTTTTTGTTAGTGTTGGAATACACAAAAGTGATAACACAAAGGATTACTTGTAGATTACTTGATATAGTTTTGAATATTCAAAAATTGAAAAACATAATTCGCTAAAAAAAGTGCAGGAGTGTGTTTGTGAAAACTTAAAATGCTGTACCAAGTGATTGCACTGCATGGTCTTTACCAAGTTAGTTAATTTACTATTGTACACAGATCTTTTTTTGTTTTAGTATGCAAAATAGTTTATGCAGATTAGTCAGAAACTGGAATGAATTTATATGATGTAATAACGTAGTATTTGTGTTGACCTTTTCTCATATAACTAGAGGCCTAATATTTGTATTGTCATTTCTAAAAAACTCTTAATTTACTTGATGCTTTTTAGAAAAAGGAAACATTATTTACATTTTATCTTTAGGCAATACTAATTGTGGAATTTGTCTGTTTATACCAATCCTATAAGCATTGTATATCACATTAATAAATTTATGTTGTATGGTTATTAAAGTACACCAAAAAACTATCAATTCCTGTCTTTGTCTTACATAACCAGTAAGGTTAACTTGATACCCATGTACTGTAATTACTGTGTGAAGTACACAATGAGAGTTTTTGCAGTTGTGTTCAGCTATTATCTCCATGTGCTGGTAAATTTACATGAAACTTGGTACACATGCCGAGGTTTGAGTTGCCTGTAAAATCTGTTCAATCACATTGATGCTGTGTGAGATTGCGCAGATCTGTGCATATTTATTACCTTGTTTGCATCTTTTCCATCAATATCTCAAGTATCTAATTAGTTTTGAGTTCTTGTACATTCAGAATTCATATAATGAAACTTGATACATGCGTGCCCTGGAGCAATCAACAGACATTAGTTTTGGGTTGATAATTACCCAAAATTGGTATAAGTGCTTTGGAACAATGCTAAAGACCTAGTAAGATTTGCATTGAAATTTGAGCATATTAATTTGCATAATCCTTCTTGAGGACTTGTGAATTGACATTTGTCGGACATCTTGCATGCGCTTGGGCCGATGAGGTTCAAACTTTATGCAAACCATTTTTTGTTAGCATAAGGTTAACTGGCTGACATCTTGTTTAAGCAAAAGCAGTTCCACAGAGCCATATCTCGTACATGCCTGGATCAATCAAGTTTAATCTTCACACAGTAGATCATTTATAATCCAAACTATAACTGTCATTGAGGATGACTTGTCAAGTATTTTAAACGTGCAACTGTTGGTGTGTGTCTAATAGAGTAAATACAGTCATGACATTTCTCTGTTCAATAGTGAAAACGGAAATGCATGTTAATGTGCCTTGTGTATAATTGCAGTTAGTCAAAATGTATTGTATTATGGCTCTGGAACAGTTATTAATGCAAAATAGCTGTCAATTTTTAATCTAATCTGAACAACAAAATGTATATCAAGTCTCATGTTCAATTTATGTACAAATTACTAAGTTTTGACGAAACCTGTTTGTGTATGACTTGGGGGGGGGGGAGGTACCGTGAATGTTCCAAAGCAGTCTGCGTTTTGGTGTGTGTACAGCACAAGGCAGCATTTTCTTGCTTTGTATTTATTCAGCAAGTTGAGGCAACTAGCACCCTTTAAGGAATAAAAACAAACTTTTGTTGACAGGAAAATATTTAATATGGACAATTAACACTTTTATAAATTACATGGCAATACCATACAGTAACTTCCTTTTCAGAGCAAATATGTAAACGAAAAAATAAAACCCTTTGCCAAAAAAATAATGAAATTTAAAAGTTGACAGGAAAAGTTCATTGTCATGGTTTTACAGTTTCAATAGACCTGAGATGGCCCTTAAATAGTGTTCTTTTTCACACTTGTCATTGTACCATGGTTACACAGTTCAAATGGACATGATCAAACATGTCCTTTGGCTCTCTTGTTATCAATTCTTGAATTGATAGCATTTGGGCATTTATTGTTTATGCGCTTACACATACTGTGTGACCTGAGGTCAACAAACCTGAAGGTAGGACAGATTTTGAACGTTTCAACTCGCAACATCCAAATTACCCTCAAATAAAACTGCCATCCTTTACCTTACTCATACCAGCCTCTGAAAATTTGTACACTACTAGTATTCTGCTTAAGCAAGAATTACAAACATGCAAATTATCTTTGGCTATAGTGCAATATTTTTTGCAGGTATTTTAGGAGTTGAAAAACTGTTACGGTCATATTTCCTCAGCAAAATACACGTACCATTTCAGTCCATTTTCCATTTTTCTCAACTGTCTTTTATAGTTTTAGCTGCCCTCGTTTGTAACAACTCACACTCACTCCGCCATCATAAAAAAAACTCTTTCAAATATGCCGCTGACATCTTCTGGGGTGCATGGCCTTTGGTGTTCTTTTGACTTGGTCTTACCTTCACCCGTTGCCAAATTACACACGCGCAAATAGAATTACATTTCATATGACGGTAATTCAGAAATTGTTTATTTACAGTCTGCCTCTCCTAAACATGTACTGTATTAACTAGATCAGGAAACATTTAGTTTTAAGATGAATCAAAAATCAACATTTTAAAATTTCCAAGCTAAACTTAAGGTATGACAAAAATAAATAAATTGTGATGAAAAAAATTAATTATCGTCTATATTGATTCTGTTGATAAGGCGAATGTTGATGACTCATAACCATTTGAATATCAAGATTTTGTTTCAGATTATGTAAACTGACAGAATTTATCAATTTAGGCAAATATGAGATATGACACAAACACAATAAAACACACAAATGTAAGGAAATGTCACAGATATGTGAGAGCATTATACAACTATGCATAGAGAGAAGCAATCTTAATATCTACTAAGTAATACACTTATAATCTAAAATGTTCATGAATCTCTTTTAAATGTTGTGGTTGTAGATTGAGGGCAACCACTTTAGGTTCTTCTCCTTTACCAACAGGTACTCTAATTTTACCAATGCATACAGATGTTGACAATCTCTCATGGGCAGCCTGAAACAAAGTAAAGTATTGGTATCTTTTATGTGTAACCATGCCAACTATTTGTACTTTGCAATATGTTATGAAAACTTGCATTTATGTAAACACTGTATATTACTAGTGCTTATGTCTGAGCAGAGGAGCTTACAGAATGTAATACAAATGTTTCTGATAAAAACTCTCCAAAATCAAATACATCAGACAGAATCTTTAGTGTATGGAAAGTTTCACACAAAATGCTTCAATTCTAAACTTAGCACTGATTTTTTCATTAAAACATGTTTTATAGCCAACAAATGTTGAAGAAGTGACCTCTAGTTTGAAATCAAGCAAGTTGTCCTACCCTGACATTAAATACAAGATGATGGAATGAATTGTTGCCAAAAGTTTACACATTTGTAAATACCTTAGTATATGTATTTGAATTGAACTCAGAAAAGTCTGACTTGGCCTGTGCTCCTGGTCTCTGTCTTGTGGCATATCTGCGAATCTCGTTCTGTAACTGATGGTGAAAAAACAAAGTACGATGGATTCTCAAAATGAATGGTTGGATGCTTGAATAGATAACATTTTACATTCTGGAATTGAATCATACTGTCAGAACAATAATGGTAGTTACCTCATTGTCAGTCAATATTCATTTTTAATGACCCTAAACTTAATTTTGCCTCCAATTTCAGCAATTATTTGTTTATTGTACCACATTGCTAAAAGTACTAAAAACAATATTTTCAAGTGATAATTCACTCATTGTATATCAAGGCAATGGAATTCTAAGAGAGGTAATCATTTCTATAATGAGTTGTTTTCTTGCTGGTAAACTGCTGCCACTTAAATGTGGCAAGATTTAAATCCAACTGGTATTGTATTTCATTTTTACACGATTTAGTCAAATTTCTCGAGCCCTTTACTTTTTATCCTGAATAAAACTATTGTTTAAGAGTAGGAAATCAAACGGGCGGTTCACCGCGGTAATCACCGCGGCACACCGGGGATAGCTTATAATTAGGGGTCTCTACTGCGGTGGCCACCGGTACCCATTGCAACCGCGGTCGTAGAAAAGGTGTGAAATACGTACTTAACAGTTTCCTTTGTGATTCCGCGAGTCTTTGTTTTAAATCGAGCAGGTTACGAGCATCACTGGCATGGAAATACTAAGCATATGGTAAAATTATCGGCCCACGTATTTTATTAATATAAAAATCCATAAGTCCAATGCAATTGTTGTTGCGTGAAACAATGGTATATGTTGTATTTTATGCATGTATTTATCAGCAATTCCAAGAGTAAACGTCGTAACTTTCGAAGGTAGGAGTATCATGACTCATCCATACATTTCATTTACGTTTGTTACACTTGAATAAAGTCTACCACTTGAAAAGAATGTTATTTACGAAGTTTTAAATAGCCGAGCCTTCCTGATTCGAGCCTCTTGTTGATTTGACAGCGGTGGGTATCATTAATGTTTATTCTTTGCTAGTTTCGCATTCCAGACAAAAAGTTCAAGATCAGTAAACAAGAAATGGACGAACTAAAATGTCTCCTGTGTTTCACGTGCGACATGATTAGGTATTAAAAAAAAAACAGAGTTAAGCGGTCATGTACGTTCTATAAATCTAACCTTGCACACATAATCTTGTATTGACGTGTTCTTTTTTGTTGTCAAAAACGACGTTGCCTTTCAGTTAACTCTTTGCGTTCATGGTATTTGTGAGAGTTTACAGATTTTTTGAACAAATGTGTCAAACTGGGTGGCCCGAATTTAAATGTCAGTGCGTGAACTCATTGAGGTCCTTGCCCATTGCTGCACGTAATTCAAACACGTTATTAGAGTTCAGTCGAAATGTACCATGCGATCAAAGTGCGCTGCGAGTTTATTATAGAAAAAATTAACATTACGCATGATATTGTATGTATGGTTAATATTACATATTCGCTTTATTTCGAATAAAATAATTCACCGATGAATCACAAGTATTTAAAGAAGCAGGCTCTCGGCTGAGATAGCTCCGCTGTTAGCAATGCACATTTCAATTAAAGAACAGATAGTCCAGGCGATGGGTGCGAAAATTGCTCAGATGATGATAAAAGCATGAAAATTAGCACACATGTACGTCACATCATTCTAAATAT